CTCATTTACTGGAAGGATTAGCTATCACATGATGCCATATCTACAGCTGCAGGAAAGAACTGCCAAGTAACCAGTTCTCACTTCGTCATAATTAATTCATACACTCCTATTTAGACTCTACCGGTCTCCACAAACCAGAGAGGTTGCATTTCACAGGTTGTGAGAGCTTTTACGGCCATGTGCTTCCCTTGGGGTGAAGCAGCCCAGTTATAGACTCAGTCATGAATTCTCGCTATGAGTAGTAGTATTAATATTGATTGTGCTTTGGTGCAGCCCATGCATATATATTTCAGTGTGTGCGTAACTGTCCAGACAGTAGTCGTCTGGCTGTCTGAGAGGCTGTAATACTTTGGAATCATCAGTTTTGGGGGGTTGATTTTGTTTTAATTGAGGAAGTTGTGGAAATAAATTGAAACCGATATCTGCCTTTAGTGCAGATTGTTTAAATGGAGAAAAAGTGAAAGAGGAACTGAGGAAACCCATGTATATGTACATAGATGGGGACTCAAATATACACACAGACGACACACACGCACACACACACACGCACACACATGCTCACAGTGCTGGTGACAGCTGGGGTTAGAAGTGGGGACGTCTATATCCAGACATCTAGGGAAAGGCAACTCAAGGGGAGACAGGGGTCATAGTTGTCGTCCCCCTAAACACACACACACACAACCCAAACGACATGAAAACTGAGATGCAAAGCATTAATCTGTCCTCTGCCCCCCCACCAGTCTCAGCCCTCCCTTCCTCCCTGCTCTAACAAAGCTCTTTTACCGCCGCAGACTGCTGCAGCCTCTTTAACCACAACCTGACCTACCCTTTCATTCTTAGCCATTTAACTGTAATTGTACACTTGCTGAGAAACTGTTTTTTTTGCTCCTTCACTTTTAAATGGCACTAAAACTACAACAATCTCATATCTCAATGCCGACACACAGCATGTTGCATGACATGGATCGCAAGGAAGCTGTTGCAAGACGTGAAAATTCCAACATAAATCAACTTTGGACATGAGAAACTTTTCCCTTTATTCTTTCTTTTCCCCCGTCTGACTTACTGTCAATCACAAGGTCTGGCCAATGTTTGTTCTGGGTGACACAGAAGCCGTTGCAGGACCGAATGAGCGTCTGCCAAGTATCTCCAGGCAATGCCAGACCTCTCAACCACCGAGGAACGAGCTGAATGCAACTTTGTGTTGTTCCATCAAAGCACAAGGAACATGGCAGCGATAGAGGTGGTGGCCATTTTTTTGCTCGGAACTCCGTGACTTTGGGTCCTGTTTAGCTTGGCTGCGGATAGGGATGGCGTGCCCAACCAGATCTGCTAAATCCATTAGAGGAGAATGGACAGAGGGAAGGAGGAGGAGTAAACGTGCGAGGGATAGGGAGATGGCACCGCGCGAGGAAAAGCGAACTGAGATCCGATAGCATAAACATCCTCGTACACATGCTGTACTGCTTGAAATGGCCACATATAGAAAACACTATGGTTTTCTATTATTTGGTAATAGCACTTAAGAGTGGAGGCCCATGTATTTGAGGCTTTGAGGCTTGCACACAGCAGAGACAGATTATGGGGGTGCAATGCCAGATATAATGTGGCTGAGACTGCATGGAGCCCTCCGGGTCTGCCCTGTCCGTCAATGTGGTCGCACAGAGATGATGTCACTGTTTGCACGCACGCGTCATGAAAATCCATGCAACCACGCAAACAGGTTGAAACTTGTTGTGTCTTGTGTATTTTTTAATTCTAGATGAAGTGAGAAACACTTTTAAAACACCTAAAGCCACTGGAGTCGTAATTTATCACAATTAGCAGACTGCTGTGAAGGGCCACTAGAGGGAGTGAATCAGGTGGATATCCTTCACTGCATTGTGTTAAAGCCGGTATACTTTCAGCATGAGCTGTATTTTAGCCCTTGCCCTCTTTATACCTCATCAGCTTGTATTTTCCAGGGTAAACACAAGTGTATTACAGCACATGTCAAAGGAAAGGGTGATGTCATGGACCGACTGCTCATTGACAGTGACAGATTGCAGCCATGCGATCTGTTCATCAATATAACCTTTCACTGACACTCGGCTGAAGCAATGAGGGAGAGGGGACATAAAAAAAAGACTTTGGAATACACCCTTTCTGACTTTATTTTTCACTCCAAAAGTTTTGCCTACGCTGTTCAGCGGTCCCTGAAGACAATAAGGCTTTCGAGCCAAAGCAAACTGTAATCCATCCATTCATCCATCAGCTACACCAAATCCTGGAGACGGTCGCGGGGGGCTGGAGCCTTTCCCAGCTGACATTAGACGAGAGGTGGGGTACACCCTGGACAGGTTGCCAGTCCTTCGCAGGGCTAACACAAAGAGACAGACCCAAGTGCAATCACTCCTCAGAATATAACTTTTTCTATTGTGTCCCAAATCCACTCTTTCCATTTTCTCTGCTTTGTTCTTTTTTTTGTTCTCAATGGCTGCATTATAGTGCTGTGGCTTAATTTCATCAGAGTGTGTCTCCAAAGGCCCGAGCTCTGACTCTGAGTTTCCCCTCTCAGCTGCAGAAAGGCTTCTTTTCATCATCACACCCCTAATTGTCTCTCTCAGACCTCTGCTTTCAACTTCTATCTCTTCTCTTTTTTCCACCCACTCTTTGCTTGAGACAGACAGTCCAACAGACACAAACACCGACTTGGACAACACGGCAAACACAGCAGTAGAAGGGTGTGTGTATGTGTGCAGACATGTGCTCGGTCTTAGCTCCGCTCTCCCTCTTTGTGTAGGAGTGCAGCAACTGTCCAGAGCAGCCGTCTGGACCAGATGTAGGGGTCAGTGACCGTTTCAGAGAGGCCAGTATCAGTGTCCCTCTCGCTTTCCCTGTGGAGCTATAGCCTTTATTAATCTCTCCTCCTCGGAGGCCTCATAAACTACTGCAGGAGGTCAGGGTCAGCAGAGAGACTGGCGAGGCGGACGATAGCAGGAGGATTCATTAGATAAAAAACTAATGTTTGTATAGTTTTCTTTGTGTGCTGTGTATACTGAAAGAAGCCTTAAAGGAGCCTGGTCTATCTCAAATTAACGGCAGAGGTATTCATTCAATTGAAAAAATTGAAAAGAAACTACAAATATGGTAAATCTGAATTATATACAACTCAGATGACTAATGCAGTGATTATACTTCTACTGCCTCACGTAGATGAACTATTATCTATTTGAATGAAGCTGGTTTTCATCCAGTTCTATGGAATAACAGTCAGTCTTTCCATTGACTTGCAAGAAGGTCAGTGTATGGTCTTTTTGTATGCATGAGTATGAATGCTTCAGTTGAACGTATGTGCAAATACTGCAGCCGGCAGCAGGCTGGCTTTCCCTCTAGAGGTGGAAGACATTCCTAAAGTTAACTGTCCAGATTATACATGCACTGTGGGAGTGATTGTCTGGGTGAATATGGCTGGCCAGCAAGGGCCAACACCCGCCACTGACAACTTGCCTCCTGTCTGCTACTGGCCGTTTGCCTGTTTTACACATTAAAAGGTTTGATAATTTGCACCGAACATTAGCTAAGAGAGGCAGGACTCACTCACATTCCAGAGAGTTTAGGTATTAATGTTCAGATCAATGCAGAAGACTCTCTGGTCTCAAAGTGTGATGAATGACTGACGTCGGGACTGGATGGCTGTCCTCATTGCAGGATGTTTTGAAGAGTTATTCGCTCGATAAATCTTCCCCCATAAATACTAGAGGAACATGCATAAACAATTGGTCTCATTTTGAAAGTAATCTAAATATTTGTCAACCTCATCAAGAGGTAAAATGTGCATCTATCTCGTGAGAGTTCAGTTAAACTCGGCCGAACAGTTGAGTGTATTTTCAGAATTTTATGGTCGTGTGCTAAAGTATGTGTGTCAAAGCCGGGTCAATTGCCATTTGCAAATAATTATTGGTGTTTGTTTTAACTTGCTGGAAGTTCCAGATGGTGGCTTTACTGCAGGGTAACTCAGACAGTGTCAGGTGAGTTTTAGATAGCCTTTTAAACTATTGTGATTAACTTTCTTGCAGTCAATGTGCCATATAATGAGGCACATCCAACCTTCTAGCACACCAGGCAAACCATAATAAACACTTTTTGGCAAGAAGTGTCGACTCTGATGGAGGACTTTGTGGAAAGTTACAGGATCTGTTCACGATTAGATCCAGAATATGACTGATAAGATTGATTTAGCATTAGCATGAGGAGGATATTATCTTTATGGATATGTGCATGATTTAGAGTTTGGGGAACATAAAGGCTTACTAAGCTTACAGTCTTAAATGACTGCTTTTCCCTATAAAGGCTCTTGTGAAGCAGATATAGGCTTACTTTCCCATGCATTCCATGTGTTTGCGCATGTGTGCGTGTGTAGGCATTTGGGATCTGTGTTGGATATAAAAGAATCTTACAAAAGATCTTAATACTCATTCCAGTGTCTTTAATGTGCTTTCCCTTGTGATTACAGTGTGTGATGCTCTGGACACTTTAAGATGTTCTCACCCAGTGAATAAAAATTGTTATCCTTGAGATAAATATAGTTTATGAGTCTGTTCTCAGCGTGGTTCAAGCCAGTGTGGATCCTGGACCGACTTAGACTTCAATTTTCATGCTTTTTTCATAGCTTCCTGATCCAGCTGAAGAGTCCTTTCCAAAATGTTAGATATATTCAATTTTATGGGATAAAAAGCTGAAATTCATCAGGCAGTGTCTTTAATATAAGTTCTGGACTGTAAAAGTGTTAGCACATTGTCATGCAAGGATTTAAGATACACACTTCACTTTGAAAAAACGTTTTGTTTTCATTTTGTGCGAAGAGAGCTAAGTGAATTTTCAAGATGTTTTCAAACAGAGAATGAAAAAAGCTGTTCAATTGCTCAATTCACATATCATAAAATACATCTGTACTTCGAGGGAGTCTTTTCGCTGGCTGATATTTTTCTTTCTCTCTCTCTCTTTTTTTATTCTTCCAGGCGTAGCAGAACCCAGCCATGCCGATAACAAGTAAAGGGTCAAGACGGAGGGCTTGGGTCAGTGGACCCTGCGTGTGCTCAAGTCTCTGGCAACAGAAGCCACTCTTTTATTTCTGCATGATCCTTGTCCTAGTTCAGTCAACATCTGTTCTCGGTGCACTGGAGCTCCAGCTAGATGAGGAGCAGCCGGCAGGGACCATTGTTGGTGACATTAGCGCCGGGTTACCGCCTGGTGAAACTGCAAGTCTTTACTTCATCTCGGACCATGAAGGCACAGGTGTTGGCAGCGACCTCAACATTGACGAGACCACGGGCATTATTACCACCGCACGCCGTCTGGACCGTGAGGAGAGGGACCACTACAGCTTCATTGCCGTGACAATGACGGGTGTCACTATTGAGGTGTCAATCACTGTCAATGATATTAATGACCATGCACCTGCGTTCCCCAAAAAGAAAGCTGTTCTCAAGATCCCTGAGCACACAGCAGTGGGGACAAAGTTTTCCCTGGAGCCTGCAACTGATGCGGACAAGGACCAGCTCACCACCCAAGGCTATGCTATTCGGGAGGGCAATGTGGGCCAGACGTTCAGACTTGAGACTAAGAGAGCTGCGAACAAGGTGCTGTATCTAGACCTGGTGGTCAGTGGACTGCTGGACAGGGAGAAACGCTCAACCTACACTCTGGTCATAGAAGCGTTTGATGGGGGTTCACCTAGAAGAATGGGATCTATGACCCTGGAAGTGACAGTGACGGACATCAATGATCATGCACCAGCCTTCAATCAGAGCAGATATCACGCCATTATCTCTGAAAGTCTCCCACAAGGAAGTAGCATCCTGCAGGTTAGCTCAAGTTTTGTCATTGTTTTGGTAGTAACTTGTAACTAAAATCATAGTTCATTCCCCCAGATTCACCAAGGTAATTCAGTATTTGACTTGTCTCGTCTTTGCAGGTCTTTGCGACAGATGAGGATGAAGGCGATAATGGTCTGGTGCTTTATGAAATCAACCGTCGTCAGAGTGACCCTGACCGCTACTTTGTCATTGATTTAAAGTCAGGGGTCATCACTCTCAATAGACCCCTGGACTATGAGCTGAAGAGGGTCCATGAACTGGTAGTCCAGGCCAGGGACAACGCCAGCCACCCTGAGGTAATTCCATTATGGCTTTTCATTAAAGTGCATTAAGCACAATGCACAATGCATTTAATAATGATTGGTAGCATATGGTAGTATATAGTTTTTTATGGTAATTTGACCTTTGGTGCTAAATGTGGCCACACTGGTATGTTGTTGAATACTTGTAGTGAACTTATGGGTCAGTTTAACCCACATGCCTGCACGTGGATATGCAGTTGCACAAACACAAAATAAAAATGCATTTCTGTTTTTATAACAAGTTTTATCCTGTTGTCTGGTTCTGATTTGCTCAACAGTGTTTAAAGACACATTAGGTATTAGCTGTTTCTTTTATACTTGGATGTTGTATTACATGCAAATAGTATACATGATTTTAGCCGTGGTAGTGATGTATGTATCATTGACTGTCTTTCGGTCCATCTTTGAGATGTCTAAAACCATCAGTTAGATTGAAAGCAAATTTAGATGCACTTTGTCAGTCCAGTGACCACCCTGAGGTTCACACTTTTGGCTTTAAGTCAAATGTCTTGACTACTAACGGATGATTTGCCATGCCAACCTTTGGTAATCATGATAGCTGGAGGATCAATCTTAATGACTTTGGTGATGTCCTGATATTTTCTTCTCTAGTGGCACTCAAAGATTCACATTTTTACTTACTGTGAACAAAAACATCAATACATTTGATGGATTGCTCACTGGCTTGATTTAATTTCATGGTTCCCAGACAATGGGTCCTAATGACTTTAGTGAGATTTCCTTTTGTGCCACTGTCAGGCTCACATTCGTAGTTTTGAGAGAATGTTTCAGAGATTTTTGGATCCTTTCATTTTCCTATTTTAATTTGTCTCTCACTTTGGTTTATGAACATATCTCTGCAAAAGTAGTAGCGCTATTCAGTTGTGTGACACAAATTAATTAGAGCGTTGGGTAACATGGATCTTAAACTGTTCTTGTTTTCCAGGTGACCAACGCATTTGTGACTATCCATGTACGTGACTACAATGACAACCAGCCCACCATGACCATCATCTTCCTCAGTGAGGATGGCTCTCCAAGAATCTCAGAAGGAGCCCAACCAGGCCAGTACGTTGCTCGGATATCTGTCACTGACCCGGACTATGGAGAGTACGCCAATGTTAATGTGTCCCTCGAAGGAGGGGACGGGAAGTTTGCTCTCACAACCAAGGACAGCATCATTTACCTGATATATGTTGACCAGGTCTTGGACAGAGAGGAGCGGGATTCGTACGACCTCCGAGTGATGGCCACCGACTCTGGCACACCACCCCTCAGGGCAGAGTCCTCTTTTACTATCCAGGTGACTGATGTCAATGACAACCCGCCTCTGTTTGACCAGCAGGCCTACAGACAAACAATTCCTGAGGTTGTCTATCCTGGATCCTTTGTTCTACAAGTTACTGCCAGGGACAAGGACCAGGGCCCCAATGGGGACGTGCGATACAGCCTACTAAAAGGCAAAAACTCTCACTCTGATTGGTTTTCAATCGACCCAGTTACAGGGATCATTACTACTGCGACCGCTCTGGATTTTGAATCAGAGCCGGCACCGAGTGTGACTGTCATTGCGACAGATGGTGGCCGTCCGCCTTTGTCGTCCACAGCGAAGGTGGACATTGTGCTGCAGGATGTTAATGATAACACACCTGTGTTCTCCAGCAACTTCTACAATGCCTCCATCAAAGAGAACACCCCTGCTGGGACCTGCTTCTTAGAGGTAAGAGAAACTCTAACAAAGAAAGTTGTTTCTCCAGCTTACTGCCCCTTTCCCCACTTAGTCTTCTTATATCTTTCTCTTTTTCTCTGTTTTCACTCTATCCATCTTTACTTTGTAAGGAAACTGCCATTGTTAATTCTCATGGTGCTCAATCTTGCTGCGCGTTGGCCACAACACTACTGTCCTACTTATGCAGCCAAAACCAAGTATTCACTGTCTCCCTTGTCCTCTCTTCTCTTTATTCACTCTCTCTCTTCACTCACACCCTCCCCTTAAGCCCTCTCTGATTACTCCCCTGGCAAAAGCCTGATTTATACATCAATATAAAGCGGTCTGGAAATCAAAGTCATGTCTGAAATGAAAAGCAGTCTTAAAGTTGTATTTTAGAAAAGGATGGTGCATTTGGAAGCACTGACACACTGTGATGTGATTCATAAACTGTGCTACGAGAGTTGTGCAGCCATTCAACGTGTTCATTTAGAGGGAAAAGATTTCTAAAGGTAAGAGAGAGAGAGAGGAGAAAAAAAGAAACAGAGGGAGAAAGCAGGGAGTCAAACTTCACCTGAATTCCTGAAGCTACTGAGGAGATTTACTCCGTTCTGGTATGTCCTCTCCCTCACCTCATAGGGTTGCCATGGTAACCAAGCCAGCAGCATAGGGTGAGCCCTCGGTACCGGCGCACTGTCTTGCTGCAGCTCGGGTATCTTACTTTTATCTTGATTCCAGCAGCTCTTCTATAGAAGAAGGACCTCTCCTGAGAAATGAAAAAGGATGACTGACTGTTTGTCTTCCAGCAAGGTCTTAACTTGGCATCATGCACCGTTTAGCCAACTGTTTTTACAGGTTGGGTTTACCGCCTCTGACGTGATGCAGAGAAAAGCGAAGAAGAAGAAGCATTTCTCTCTCTCAGTATTTATTTTCTCTGAAATCCTGCTGCTAGAACTAAGAATTGCAGTGCAGCCCCAGTAAAAGACTCCGGACCCCTGATTATACCAGCCAAACTGGAAGCAGATAAATAGTTGAATTTCACATTCTTCCAGGCTCACTAAGCATGTATTTGGAAAGGGTGGCTGCTTGGTATTCTGTGCAAACTGGCATATGGGAGTGCTCCTTAGGGAAGACACAAGTCGAGGGAAGTGAAGGAAGGCAATGAGGAGTAGTGATGAGATGCAAATGAAATAAGATCGAAAAAGAAAAGGGATTTAGCCCGTGGAAGGATTGAGAAAAGACACGAGGCAAACCTTCAGTGTGTTTATAATCAGATACTGTATGTGGTATTGTCTGTCTGAACCCTGTAATTTGCTCCCAGTTAGCCTGCTCTGTTGAATTATTACATCCCTCAACCAACCAAATGAACCCTCTGGACCTCCATTCCAGTTGTTGCTACAGTTGTAATCAACTGTTACTCGTTTTTCTAATCCTAGCCGGCAGTTATTCTGGCACTAGGTGCAGGAGTAATCCCATGCCAGACATCACGGGTGGTTTTCCAGTATGCCAGAGTGAGTGAATAAGGCTTGATTTGCTCATTCCGGCACGTTCCTCAAGGCCTGCTCCGACCGAGCCAAGATTCTCCAGGCGAGACTCTCCCCACAAAGGTTGTGATTTGCACTATAATGGTAGTTGGTGTAAACTTTTTCTTTTTCTTCGTCAACGGAATATGTGGCTGCTAAGATAGGACACACACACATAAATGATGTTAGACCTGACATCATGGCTTAATGGATCATGTTCCATATTTGTTCTGTGTCCTCAATTTGACTGCCAAACAACTATGGAGATTGTGGAGCGTTTGGTGTTTTACTCTGTCAGTTAATGACAAATTTAGGAATTGGGTCATTTGTTCCAGTAGGACTCAGTTTACATTTTTGAGTGATGTTATTTGGCACCGACTATCCGGTTGTGAGATTTTGTCACGTTCCTGACAGAGTCGAGACGACGGCACAATGTTCTCAGAATTGTACCAATATTTACAATAGATAGCAATCGCTGTTTGGATTTTGGAATTATTACACTGGCCCGGCTGGCTCGGGTTAGATTTTGGACACTCGTTAAAATAGGGGGAAATCAGCCAATGTTTAATATCTAAACAAGGAAATATGTTATCAGAAGACCTGTATAGAGGACATATATGCACTTTAATGGAACTAGTCTCTATTTTCCAGGTTTTCTCTTTTTCATTTCTCTCTCTTTTTTCAGTCATTTTCTGAAGTCTGTTTTTCTTCCGTGCTTCATTTCTGTTTCTCTTTCTCTATATCTTACTCAATAAGTCTCTTGCTTTTCCTCACTCTTCACTTACACACACACACAGACACACACACACACACACACTTACACATGCAGTGTGTAGGAAGCGTCTTATCAGTTTGGCCACTGTGGTAATCTGTAATGTGCTGTACTGTTTATGTAGCCACGACACAAAGGGGTTATTTATTTCTTAGTTTCCCTGCTTTCCTCTTCCCCCGCTTCCTTAAAGTATTTCCCAGGCATGAGAGGTTATAGTGCCTGTGTGTACGAATGTGGGTGTGTGTGCATGTGTGGCATGCACATCCATCCGAATCAGGTTCATAACCTGAGAAGGTAAAGGTCATGAGAAAGGCATGAATCATGACTGGTGGTTAAAAGTGACGCACGTATTTAGAGCGGTGCCACTTCATTGCTTAAAAGCTCTTAAGGTCACGGAAATGATCTGATCCCATCATTGTGTCTGAATCACTGACACCGCTAGTGAGTTAATAGGGTTACTTTCAGATCTCCTGCTCCTTTTCTTGGTGATAATCTGTGCTTTTCAGAGTCTAAGCATTTTTTTCCTTTCTGTGTGGGTTGTGCTTTGCAGAGTCTCTGTCAAATCCAATGACACGGTGACTTCCAGCATAACCTGGATTCTGGAAAGGCCATGCTAATCTCACCAGCAGTGACATGCATGCTCTGGTAAAGCTAGAAGTTGCAAGCCGGACAAAACTTTGATTAACGAATAAAGCAGTCCAAATGAGATAAAAGTCTAAATCAATACGCTATAAAAAAGGACCCTCACAAAAGGGGCCATTAGTTGAGTGAGATAGTTGCGTGCGTATCTGTACACGTGCATGTCTGTATGTCATACATCTGTGTGTGTACTTGTGTACATTATTGAAGCCAAGACCTCACTTTCAGCAGGTGATGCATCTCCCCTGTGATGTTCAGCATGTGGTTTCCTGGTCAAGCCTGTTAAACAACACTCAATCATCTAGACAGACACACAGATGTGCACTTCTGGGAGACGTACAAAGAGATGGGGAATAGCTTATTGACACTGCAGTAGAACGGTGCAACAGTACTGCAGTGTCTCCTAGTAGACTGTAGTTTTGGTGCTTTAAAAGAAAGTAATTTTCAGATTAAAGCATAAAAAAGGTAAGCAAACAAGTTGAGACGTGTGTGCAACCTGGAAGCTGCACATAGAAGATGCATATTTCTTTATGTCCCACAGTACAAAACGCTGGACAGAACGAGAAACATACTAATAATTTTGCTAAGTGTCAGAGCTTCCATCACTGTATTGCAAGGCTGGCGGCCCGCCGGGCTTAAGTTGACCCCCCTGCCGGTTCTAAGCATCGGGGAAGATGTTTTTTAAACTATAGTCACAGTGGGGCGGCTCAGTTGGAAGCAGATATAATAGTTGGAAAGCTCACCAGTGACATCTAACATTCACGGCTCCACCGAGTCAACAAGATTAGGCCAGCCTCGGGTCAAGAAAGTGCAGACAGTGAACACTTCTTCCTTGGGACAGCACATCCGTGGTAAGTTATCGCAGAAAATATAGGACTACACTTGGACCCCATCAAAGAAGACCCTTCGTTCCAGCGTTGTAGGCCTACTGCCGCCCTGTCTGTCTCTTTACCTACCCTCTCTGTGTACCTGTCATTCAGATACGCCTGAAAGCCTGCTGCATGCAGGTTCTGGGACTGAGACCCTCTTGGGACCTTCCCAGCTGCTGGATCTGACAACGTTTGTCACAAAAACCCTCTACATCCTTGCTGTGGCTTAAGATTAAATAGCTTGTGGTGAGGGTGGTGCTAATAAAGAGGTTTATCCCCACATGATCATGAATGTGTTGTAAACTATGATATAACTCTCAAATAAAGACACTCTGACCTGTAAGAGTGGTTTAAGAAAAACACATCAGAAACAAAAATGGCTAATCATCTGGAGAGCATAGATGTGCTCAGTCAATGCAGCAATCTGCTGCATAAATCAAAGCTCCCCATTAGGAGACCATATATTTTTAGGGGATAATCTGTTATGCAAGAAACTGCTGGTGATGGAGATATTTTTACCTGATAGTGGTGATTTCATTTCAGTCTCCCTGGTCACATGTGCTGGTATCTTGCTCTGCACCACATCTCTTGACTGACAGATTGTCTCACCTGCTGAGCAAGCTTTGCTGGTAGGAAAGTCACGTAAGAACATGTGAGCATGGTGTGAAGGTGACTGAAATAGAGAAAGAGCGTATAGGAAGGAGCCAGGTTTTCTTTTGACAGGTGGACTTGGTCCTTCTGAACCTCCTACAAAACCACTTAGACAAACACAGCACGTCTGTCTGTCAGAGCAATCAGCCCTTTTAGTTTGAAGTCCAAAATCGGGGACCCCGTGGCTAAAGTCTATACGGCCTCTATAAGGAAATACTAATCACATTTAAAACATACACACTCGTGCACACTGAGACTAATCGCATTTGTTAAACCAATAGCAATAGAGCCAGAGACATATGGTGACGCACTGAGAGCAGGAAGGTATTCAGCTTAAGCTTCCTGTAACACCGAACCAGTCTTCTGCTGGTGTCGTGCTGAACCTGGCCCCCGTGGAAACCAGAGCCAGAACAAACCACAGCTTCCGCTTGGATCTCACATGCTCCTCTCCAGCCCAGACTCACAACACACGCACTCTAGCTTTTATTAAGCTTGAAAAAGTTGGAGGAAGATGAAATTTATTGTCCGCTTGATGCCTTTCCTCCCGCTTGTTCTTGT